CCTCGCCATGGGGCCGACCCTCGCCACGGGGCTGAACCCCGCCATGGGGCTGACCCCCGCCACGGGCCGGTCTGCGCCCTCCCGCTGCGAGGAGCGAGCGGGGACAGCGCGCCCTGGCCCGGCCTTGGCCCTCGCCTCGGCGGGGTGTAGGCCGGGCGGCCAAGCCCTAATTTGAGGCGAGAGCTCCGTGCCGCTGGTGGCCGCCGCCGCTGTGGCGCTGAAGCGCAGGAGATCGATAACCGGGGAGCAGAGCAGCGCGGGGGGGCCCTGGAGCGCCTCGGTTCAGAGCCCTGCGCCGGGCCTCGTTTTGGGTTTTCAGACGCTGTCGTGGCCTTGCGTGTGAGAAGCGGCGCTTTCGCGGCTCGCCGACGCCTCGGGAGGAGCGGGGGACGCGCGCAGACAGCGGACAGAAAGGAGAAGATTGATGGTGGGTATTTTGGAAGCCGTCCTTCATGCAAACGATGCTGCCTACTTAGTTTGAAAAGTATTTTGTCATTTCATAAAGCATCCATTGTAAAAACATCTGCGTCAGTCACTCCGCACACACGAACAACAATTATAATAATCCCAGCCCGATTGCCCGGAGATATTAGCTGTTCTTACAAACAACCAAAGTGGGTGGAAATTTCAAGAGTTGCAGAAGAATAGGAGTCTAAATGACGCCGTAGGTTTTAAACCTACAAAATTTTCAAATGCAGTATCATCCCCTGATGTTTTCCATGGCTTTGCAGATGGATTTTCATCTGGTTTGAGATGTGAGGGTGGGTTTTTTTTCTCCATTTTTGCTGCGTGCAAAATGGATGCAAACCAAGAAGGAAAGTGCCTGACGATGGGTCTGGGCCAGCGGCTGCTGAGGTTAGTGGCAGTCTTTCCACTGACCTCGGGTGGCTTGGAGCCCAGCTGTAAATACCGAGGGATACAGCAAAACACATAATTTTGTATCAAAGTGCTATCATATGCTCATAAAAATAGAAGAAAAGTAGAGGAGATGTTTCCTCCCCCGCCCCTTGCAATCTTTTGGAATTACAATGGTCCGAGCTGTCACTTGGAAAGCTTGAGTTCACCCGGAGCGGATGGATCCAGCTACTGATTGAGGGGCCTGCCTGCCGATTTCAGAGCCCAGCGACTGCTGCCTCATGTTTTCAAATCCATCCGCAGCCTGGTGATCCGCTTGGGGGTCTGCATTGGCCCCGCACCCTTGGTCCCAGCCCTGGAAAACTCCCCATGGGAAACACCTTCAGCTTCAGGGAAGACCGCCGCCGCCCTGCAGAAGAGACGTAACTGGCCCTAGGACACGGCGAGCCGTTGGACTTCCCCGCTGCTGCGTAGTATTTTGTGTGGTGCCCCAACCACGCTGAGATGGCGGATCAGGGAGAGGGGATCAGAAGCGAAGCTGAGAGGAAAACCCCCCTCCAGCCAAGGCTGAGGCGCAAGCGGATGCTCCGACGGGGAGCCTGCAAGTGGGGGGACATCAGCAGGAAATCGCCCTTGCCAGCCGGGTGAGCCAGCCGGGGCAGAGACGTCAAGGGAAA